ATTTTTTTCCCTGATTCTCAAAGAGGTAGAACATATGGATGAATCTAGATTTTTGACGAGCAAAAAGAGGGTAAAACATCAAAAGAGAGGGAGAAAAAAAGAGAAGACCGAACATCAAGCACATTTTATTAGGAAGCTCAATCATTCTTCAGAAACATTTATCTGAGTGGATTCTTCTAATCTGTATCTATACTTAGAGAATACTTCTAAGTAGCCTCTACAGAAAATCTTCTATGGCTGTTTCAGACTCACTGATATCAAGAAGAGTTATGTTAGCCGTGTCTAACTTACAACCCATTTACTTCAGTGGAGCCAACCTGTAACTAATTCCTTGTAACTAGATACTGTATATTGACAGTCAGTGGCTTTAAAAGAAGACTTAGACAGCGCACTGCAGATGGATGTATCAATGTCTTTTTCTCATGATGGCTGCACGGTTTTTTCAGGCTCACTGACAATATGCCACTTAATATAATTTATTGGGGAACAACAGTAAAAGCCCAGGGCATAGCAACATCTGGTTGGTCACTACAACAAACAGATGCTGGAGCTTTGGTCTAATCTCATATATTGAATGTTTTGATGACATCTGGAGAATTTCCCTGAAATCATCCACTCATAAAAATGACCTCTCATTATTTGGGTGGGGAAGCAGGGGAGTGCATACATTTGCTAGTGAAGCTAAACCCTTTAAAAAGCTGGAAGGCAAAGCATTACAAAAATCCTCCCACCAGTGATTGTCACATAGTCAGCTCACGGGTTAAAACAGGAGGTGGTCTTCTGCCTTGCAAAGGGACCAGGAGTGGATATGCTGCCTGGGACTCCACCAGTAAATAATCCTCATAATCTGCAAGATATTCAGGAATAAACTGGACTATGTAGAAGCAACTCATCCCAGGAGCAACAAGTCCGCCTTCACCTGGAAATTTCCCTGGAAAGAAAGGAGTTTCTTTAGAAAATTCTGATTATACATGTTGCTTGCTGACTGTAACATGGCGCCAGAATCCTGGGAACTCTTTAAATAGTATATGTGTATATGTTTGTAAGAAACAGAGACTAAAAACAGAAGCACAATGAAAGTGAGGTCACGTTGGAGGACAACATAACCGTAACAACAGATATGAAAGAGGGTTGCAAATCACTCTGCCCCCCCACCCCCACCCACAGCTTGCTGAAAAAGCTGGGTCTTCATGGCTTTTCTGAAGGCCAGCAGGGTCTGTCACAATTAATATAGTGCCATGAAGAATTGGCATTTGCATTATGATAAAACAATCTGATTTGATTTTGATTTAGCCAAGTGATTGAATCCAACCAACTATGGTTTATTTAATAAACCATGCTTAAAAATGGCTTGGGGACACAGTGGCGCAGCGGCTTAATGACGCTGAAAGTTGCCGGCCAGAAATGGCTGACGCTTCAGCGGTTCGAGCCCCGCCTTCGCGTTAGACAGGGTAGCTCCTGT